CCTCTGTTCGCCTACTTGGTCTTGGGGAGCTTGTGGCTGGCTGTGGCGCTCTCATCTGTGCATTCTGGAATGCGCTTTGGTTGTCCACGTAGGCCTATACGTGGCTGTGAGAACTTTCCCTTCCTAGACTTTCCAACTTGGGCGTTGACGTGGCATCTTCCAACTCTCTCTGCAGGATCGCTTCTATTGCGGCTGCCTCTTTTGCTCTCTGTTGTCGCTGGAAAATCTTAAAGTTGGCCTGAGCTTTGGCCAAGTCTTCTCTATGTAGCTTGTCATCTACTGCTGCTTGTGCAGCGACGTCAGCCATTGTGGTATTGATCCGTGCTTCCCTGAGACGGGCGGCAGTGCTCTCTGCTCCTGAGGCTCGAGATGCATGGCTCTGGCGAGAAGATGCCTTTGAATGGTGGGAGGGTCCTGTGACATGCGATTGTTGGGACACGCTGGAATGTGCCTTGGACATGTGGCGAAAAGATGAGGCCTTTCCAGACACATGGGATGGATGGATCCGCGTGCGACCGTTGGGATGGTGCATGTGAATAGCAGGAAACTTCGGACTCAGCTCTGTCGACCGGTCTGCCTCTCTGGCGAGGCTCGGGCTGTGGGGAACCATGTGAGCTCTCTACATGTTTCTTATGTTCCTCGTTTAGTAGCTTGAGGCTTTGCATCTCGCTATCGACTCTTGAATCTCTTAATTGTTCTTGAATGTCCTTGAGTTGCTGTTCAGAGTCCATCCATTGCACATAGGCGTCTTCCTTATCTCCTTCCACTGCTTGCACACGTTCTGGGGAGAGCTCATCCTTCCATTCGTGGTAGAGTTTGTATAATCTCTCCCAGCTTCTTTCGTGGTGCCTGTGGATGGTGTGCCATTTCTCCATCAGATGTGAGTGCATGGCTTCTGTGAGTTTTTTGCGTTGTCTAAGATCGTATTGACCCTTTTTGGCTTTGTTGAGGCTTGAGCTTCAGCCTCTTTGTGCAGGTCAAGGTTGGCTGTTGGCAGTGTTTCTCCTTGGCCAGCTGGTTGGTGTATCGCAACTAGGCTGGTTGGTTGAACCCCTTCTGCTAGACCAGTAGGACGCTCTACTATGGCTAGGGTAGGTTCAGTGTTCTTCTCAGCTATTTTGAAGAGAATTTGAAGAACCTCTCTCTTTGACCACTAGGGGTCGCTACTTGTAGATCAGCTTCTGAGGTGCTGTCTATGGGTGGAGATGCCACTGGGTGCGTTCTCCTGCGTTTGTGGGTACTTCAATGCAGTTCACCCCTTCCCCACTAGGGGTCACTTGCTGCGGGTCAGCTACCAGGGTGCTCTGGCTTCGAGGTTCACCCTTTGCCCACTAGAGGGCCTTCTCTGGGTGCGGTTAAAGGCTTGCATGTAGTGCCTCCCTTAACCACTAGGGGGCGTCTGAAGAAAGGCCAGCCAAATTCTTCCTATTACCACATTACTGCTAGTAGCCACTGAGAGAATGTAGAGGTACAAACTCCCACCTGGCAACCGTACTGCTAGTGGCCACTGAGAGAATGTAGAGGTACAAACTCTCACCTGGCTACCGAGTTGCAGGCTGGGACCCTGGGTCATCAGCTGTGATGATAAGCAAGAATTGGCTTCGCTTTCTTCTGCCTAAGTTCCCTCAAACTGGAACAGCTTGGTGTTCAGCTTGAGTGAGTGAGTGAATGCTTTTGGTAAGTTCACTCTGTGCCCTCTAGGGGGTGTTGGTAGGATAACTTCAAGTAGCTTGCACTTTAACTAACAGATTCACTGCAATGCTATTGGGGTTGGTTCTGCCTCTGTAACCAGATTCCTCCTTATCCCATAACATTGGCTGAAATTCCAAGCTGTGGCTGGGAGAAGAGGTTAATTGCTTTCCTTAGTGACTTGTTGCTAAGGCAACTGGACTAATAAAACAGCATTCAGCCAGAGAGTTAATTGCCTTTTATAGCCCTCAGGGGCCTCTTGCTGTTCTCTTTGGTGTTAGAAGTCAGGCTTTACATGCAAGAAACAATAGTGTAGATTTTTCTTTTTCTACTTTGTAATGTGAACATCACAATATTCCTTGCAAACAGATCCAAAGGTAATTTAAAAACAAACACGAAGCACTTTATAATTTACTTTGAAGCATTGGCTAGCAAGCAGAATTTGACTGGTAATGAATGTTTGCCAGCAGAGGCTTCTCAAACAGCGAATTAGCAAAACAATGCCTCTGAATCACTCCTTGAAGGCTGTCTTTAACACAAACGCGCTGGCTTTGCTATCTCAGAGATTACTTTGCAGGCAATTGAAGGAGATTAGTCACATCAAGTTACTACTTGCAAGAAAGTATCTGCTTTACTTTCTTAAGGGTTAATGTAGAGAAAAGGCTAACAAATTTGATTCTCTTTCTTTAAACTGTTGCAGCTTTGAGAGGAAATTAATCTTTGTCAACATCAATTTACTATTTGGTTTCAAAAGCTGGCATGAATTACGAGCATACTTTTACTATTCTGACTCTGATATAAAACGCTTATCAAGTCAGATAGACAACTCAAAAGAAACGATCTTATAATAAACAAAAAATATATTTATTAGAAAGATTACTTGCATTCACGCTGTGGTTGATACTCCTGGAAAATACATCTTTTGTCCATTTCTTTAGACCATCTCTTTAGGTAAAAGTATGATGCTCTTCCATACCATCTTTATAACGACTCGGGCTTATTGTGTGACCTTCCATGGCCCATGCTTCTTATAGACAAAGAGATTCCCATGTGGCTTGTGTGCAGGAAGTCTCCCAATGACCTTTTAGACTCCGCCCACATACCTAGCATTTAACCCAATAACTGCCAGACACTCTAACACACTGATACCTGCTCTCTAGTTAGGGCTACATATACATTCCAGAATATTCCCATTTATATTATGCACATCTTCAAGAAGCATGCAGCTTTTTTTATAAGGTCATCATCCTGACTTCTCTTTGACTGTAGCCAGATTTCTTTAATGAATAGTACAGTCTGTGATGTTTAATTTCTAAAAACAAATCACAGTACAATATATTCTTCTCTGATACATTTCCTAACTCCTAAAGTTAGACATGTGCTTACATTTCTTGAATTGTTCTGCCTGGAAGATGCCTTCCAAATTAGCTAGACCCAAATGCAATATCTTTTGTCTTCCTATTAACACTGTACAGGCCTCATCCTTAGCAAATATGCTGCACAGCTTTTTTCCTCTTCCATTCAATAGCTAAGGAGTTCATATTAAAGGAAACTGAACTTACTAAGGTAGTACAAATGTTTTTCTTTTCTTAATCTCATCTCATCGGCAACCCTCTTCCTCAGAGTGAGGAGCCTTTTTCTGGTGGGGAGGGGGAGATGCTGCTTGTCAGTGAGATAATAACACATTCTTTTGAGAAACAACAGAGCCTAGATAAAAATGAATTACTTTCTTCATTGAATTTGCAATTGTTTACTTCCTCAGAACTACATTGGTATACTATACACATTTCTATTATATACAGGATTAAGAAGAATAGTTCTTTTGAACATCAAATTAAATATTTAATACCAGATTTTACTCTGAACTCACCTCTTAGTAAATGAAGAGCACAAATAATTACCTGCCTTTTTATTAAATAATTAAAACTTCGAATAAATTTTTTCCCCAAGAAAGAGGTAGAACCTTACCTGAGTAGCCAGCACCTCTGAAATGATTCTTGTCCAACCCAATCTAACCAATGTGCAGACTATTTTACATCTTTGTAGTTTCCTGAAAGATAGTCTGAACACTGGGCAAGTGGGGCCAGAATCTAAATGTTTCCTTTCTATTTAGTTCTCTGTTCTTAGGATTGTAAGTAGAGGAGTTCTATGGAGGGGAAATCATTTCTTTTCCTTTGACATGGCAAAGTCTGCAGCTGAATCCAGCTTGGAAAGTAGTTGGGCCCTTTCAGAAAATCAAAGTGGGGAATGCATGGTTTGTGGCTTTCATATAAAAGAACACATCACTTTTGGGACTCTGTGTGCATGCAGTGTGGAAGGAGGGACACACTGTTCTTTGTGAATCATAGGATGATGGGAGCTCTCACTATCATTAAGCTACCTCTTATTAAAGAAAACTGTTTTAGAAACCTGCTCTTTCATTCCCAAGTCCATTGTTTGTTTCTATATTCTTCCCACCAATTTTTAAGATGCTGCAGATTTCCACTACAAAATCTTTATCCTTTTCTTCTCAGTTTCCAAGTCAGGTATATAAAAAGTTTAACAGTTCTTTTAGAATCCATAGAATTCCTCCAAAGTTGTCAAGTCTATCCAAAAAATTACTATTATTTTTTGTGTTGGGAACTGGAATTTTCCCCTGCAATGGGACCTGTAAAGCAGAAGTCCCCAGCCTTTTGAGCACCAGAGACCATTTCCACAGAGAGGGTATTTTGCAGCCCGGAGGGGGTGTGGTTTCATACTGCCTGCATCCCATAGATGGGGCTTTGCTTGTTTGCGCGGCCCGGTTTCTGGCATGCTGCAGCCCAGTGCCAGTCCACGGACCGGGGTTGGGGACCCCTGCTGTAAAGGACATCAAGGATCTATTTCATTATCACAGTACTTAAGTGCCACTAAAAATCTGAGGATGTTGATTTCAGAAACAGCATAAAATTATTAAACAAAATCTGAATGACTTTTACCAGATATTATAGGAGGAAAAACTAAATGAGGAAATTAAAAATGCTCAGCCATTGGAAAAATGGTAGCATTTATATGATAGCCTTAAGAGGAATGTCATGTCATGTCATGTCATATGATATATCTCTGGGTAAACTGTAAATGCAAGTCTTTTGGTCTCAGTCTAAGAGATGGTGTAGGCATGGCTAGAATGCTGGTTTTCCCAGTGTAGAACTGGGAATACCAGTAGTTTATCATTAATCAATTGGTTTCTTTTCATTTTCTTCATTTTAACACAGATCCTTTTTTATTAGAGTATTGAGGTCACATTTTAAGAAACAAAGAAAAATTACATGTAACTTTTTTATCTCTTATAGGAGAAAGAGAAGAAATATATGTTGCCTCTAGACAACCTAAAAATAAGAGATGTGGAGAAGGGCTTCATGTCCAATAAGCATGTCTTTGCCATTTTTAACACAGAACAAAGGTAAGAATAATGTCTCCTTCATTTTAGCTCTTTATAATTTAAATTCCTTGACTCAGTTCACATATTTGGTTCCAAGATGACGGCAGTGTAGGAAACAGTATTGGATCACGGGGAGAGAAATAATCAAACTAAGTAGGAAGGTACTAGGAGAGGGAGGAAAAAAAGGGAGGAAAAAGAAGCAGAAAGTTAGATAATGAAGATAGTAAGGATAAAGGAAAAGAAGAAATTGGGGCAATGAGGAAATCACCAGCAAACAGGAGCGCAGTGAATGAATGGCTGCACATGGCGTCAGAGACAGCCAGCAACAGAGAACAAGAGAGTCAGTTCTGGAGCACAGCTAAGCAGCCCAATGCTGAAAAAAAGGCAACTGAGAGCAGCGAACTGGCAGCTGAACAGCAGAAAGGAGGGAGACCTTTGGAAAGAGCAAACCGATGGGTCACAGCATTTATTCAGCAATTGCTTAGGCCGGCTCAGGAATTCTGGGAGTTGAAGTCCACGAGTCATAAAAGAACCAAGGTTGCCTACCCACACCCCCTACAGGCCCACAACCCCTGCAGCCCTCCCCAGGGGAGACTTGCCTCAGGTGGAGGACTGGATAAGCGTTCCCTCCCCAGAGAGACCAGCAGCCCCCCCCCCATCCCTGCTAGCCTGATCTTCGCCTGTGAGGAATTGCAGGTGGCAAAACCTGAGGGGGCAGGGAGGAATGCAACAACAGCAAGAGGCTTTGAGCCACAGAACTCTCTGATCTCTGAAGCTGAGAGGCAGGCTGAGAGGAGTAGACCAGACAGAGCAGCTGAGCTGACCGGAAAGCTGAACAGCAGGCCTGACCAGAGCAGAGACGAGCACTGAAGGACAGAAGGGAGCCGGCAGAGAAAACAACAAGAGGCCGGAGCAGCAAGCAACAGAAGTGAAGGCAACAATTAAGTTTGAAGTCCCAATAGGAAGGGAAGAAGACCCCCAGTAAAAAATAAAAAGGAATTGGAGTTCAAAAACTTAAAAAAGGCCATCACCCACTGAGGGAAAAAAGAATTTTAGAAATAAACCATTGGCTAAAGCAGTAGTGGTGAACCTATGGCATGGGTGCCAGAGGTGGCACTCAGAGCCCTCTCTGTGGGCATGTGCGCCATCACCCCAGTCCTAGGCTTTCAGCTGGGTTTTATAAAACCTTTTTGCCTTAGGTCCCCACCACCGTGTGCAAAAAAAAAAAGGTTCAATCAGTCAATTTCAACTTCTCGCGGGGGAAAAAAAGATCTTGCAAAGTTGGAATTGATTGATTGAACTTTTTAGTCCCACCCAGTCTGCCATTACCACCGCAGCCATGCCCACCCAATGGGCCGTGCCCACCCAATGGGCCACACCCACCCAATGGGCCACGCCCACCCAGCACCCAATGATACATAAGTGGGTTTTGGGTGGCAGTTTGGGCACTCAGTCTCTCAAAGATTCGCCATCACTTGGCTAAAGGGTTGGTGTCGCCAAGAAAGCTTTGGTTTCCTGGATCATGGACTGCATTTCCTAAGTGAAGGACTCTTGGCAAGGGATGGTCTGCACCTCACGAAAACACGGGAAAACGTACTCAGAAAAACACTGGCCCAACTCCTCAGGAGGGCTTTAATCTAAAATTGAGGGGGAAGAGTGACCAATCTTTAGAATCCCTAGAACCCAAAACCAATCATAAATCCTATGAAAAGAAATCAAACAGTGATGAGAAAAAAAAGAAAAACTCAAACAACAATCAGGAGATGCAGGAAACATACCCACAAACAGGCATAGAGGCTTTGGGAATAAACAGGGTGAACTAGAAGCAATCGTACATGAGGGTGGGTATGACATAGTTGGCATTACAGAAACCTGTGAGACAAAACTCATGAATGGACTAATGGATGAATACAAATTGTTCAAAAGAAACAGGTCTACAAAAAAAGGAGTGGGAGTTACACTATATTTAAGAGAACACTACATATCTACAGAAATGCACATGATCAAAGATAAAAATCTCTCCAGAATGTATATGGGTCAATATAAAAGAGAAAAAAAGTGGTATCGCCATAGGGGTATATTACAGGCCACCCAACCAATCAGAAGAAATAGATGAACTCTTTGCCAACCAGTTAACAAATGTATGTAGGAAGCATACCACAGTAGTAATGGCAGACTTCAACTATCCAGATATCAACTGGGAGACAAACTCTGCAGCAAGCAGGAGATCAAACAGATTCCTAACCAACCTAGCCGACAGCTTTGACATCCAAATGGTGGAGGAGGGAACCAGACATAAAGCTAAATGGACATAATTCTTACTAATAGAGAAGAAGTGATACTGGGAGTTGAAATTGCCGGAACCTTGGGTGAAAGTGACCACGTCATACTGGAATTTAAGATAATACAAACACTAGCAACAGAAAACAATCCAATCAGTGTCTTGAACTTCAAAAGAGCTGATTTTAACAAACTCAGAGCTAACCTAGGAAAGATCCCATGGATGAAAATCCTAAAGGGGAAAACAACGCAAGAAGCGTGGGAAACATCTTCATCAATGACTTAGATGAGGGAATTGAAGGGGAACTCATCAATTTTGCAGATGAAACCAAACTGGCAGGAGTAGCCAACATCCCAGAAGACAAACTCAGGATCCAAAAAGATCTTGAGAAACTTGAACAATGGGCCCTACCCAACAAAAGGAGTTTCAATGTGGAGAAAATTTTTATATTTAGGCAGGAAAAATTACAGGTATAATTACAGATTGGCGAGACCTGGCTTAAAAACAGACCTTGGAGCCCTAGTGGATGATCACTTGACTATGAGCCAGCAGTGAGCAGCAGCACCAAAAAAGCTAATACAATCCTGGGTTGTATAAACAGAGGCATAGAATCAAGATCATGCAATGTATTAGTACCACTTTATAAAACCCTAGTAAGACCACACCTGTGATACTGCAGCCAATTTTGGTAAGCATATCACAAAAAAAAAAAAAATGTGGAAGTTTGGAAAAAAATTCAGAGAAGAGCAACTGATTATTAAAGGCCTGGAGACCAAAACATATGAAGAACGGCTGCAGGACTTGGGTTTGGCTAGTCTAAAGAAAAGAAGAAATAGGGGAGACGTGATAGCAGTATTCCAATATTTGAGGGACTGCCACCAAGAAGAGGGGGTCACCAAAGCACCAGAGGGCAGGACAAGAAACAATGGTTGGAAACTGATCAAAGAGAGAAGCAATCTGGAATTAAGAAGAAACTTCCTGACAGTGAGGACAATTAACCAGTGGAACAGCTTGCCTTCAGAAATCATGGGCACTCCATCACTGGAGATTTTTAAGAAGAGGCTAGACAGTTACTTGTCTGAGATGGTATAGGTCCTCCTGCTTGAGCAGGGGGCTGGATTCGAAGATCTCCAAGGTCCCTTCCAGTTCTATTCTATTCTGACTGGATGGTCTTGCCAGAAAACCAAAATGATGGAGACTCGCAGATTAGTGTTTGTATCTGTCTGAATCCCCACCTCTCTCTTTTTCTCTGTATGTATAGTATATATATGTGTGTATGTTATATTGTGCTGTTTTATATGTTATAGAAGAAAGTTGCAAGTATTTTTCTGTCTTGTAAAAAAATAGCATTGCGTTACAGCAGAGAAACAGCATTTGCATAAAAACACTGGTCTTGAAGATTAGTGATGAAAATGAAATACTGCTTTTTTCTCTTGCCTTTAGCCATCTTTCATAGATATGCTTATATCTTGATACTTAAACCAAATTTAACTTTGCCTTTTGTTACATATTATATGATGGAAGTTGGAGCTGTGCTGCAGAGATGTGACTTTTGAAAAGAGATTAACAAAGTCTATTTCTCTTGGTTTGTTCAATAACTTTAATAAAATCTCTTTTAAAAAGTAAAAACCACTTTTTAAAGTGGTTAGATGAAGAGGGAAAATTTGATCATGGGTCAGCAGAGGTGGAATAGTTAGAGCCTTTTTATAGGCTGTTGTTTTCTGGGCAATTTGAATCAGCCCTAAATGGTCCACAGTGATAAGAATTGTATGGAATAGAGAAACATATGAAATTCAAGGAAACGAAAGGTTGTGGATAATGACACAAACCATTCTGATCATATAATGGTTAGTTAGGATCCAAGTTCCCTGATATTTGAAGAATCTTTCATTATTTCATTTTTCTTACAGTTTCACACATATATACATTCACATTATCCCCTTTTGGGTAAATAATGCTATACAAAGTGAAACAAACAAGAAATAGTAAGCAGAAGAAATTGGAGACAAAAAAATACAAACAGAGAAATGTGTCTAACTTTAGTTTACACTAATACTATTCATATACCTCATTCTGTTTGACAGCCAACCTTACTTCCCATATATTCATACACCAATTTATTTTCTTTTGTTCTTTCTCTTATCTACTCCATCCAACCATGATTTTCTTGGTTTTTCAATCAACTCATGTTCTCTTCTGTCACATGTTTTGTGATTCAAATATCACTCATTCTCTATATAAAATCAAATCACTTCAATATACTTCCTTTGTATTAGTCATTTACTTTTATATTCAGTTTATACTTTATAAACTGAATACACACACACACACACACACATACCAAAGCAAAGGCTCAGAATGAAGAAAGATTTGCAACAAAAGTCAAAGATAATTTAAAAAGTTTCTTTCAACATATAAATAACAAGAGAAAAGGGACTTCTGGTTTGCCAAGGCAGCTGCTATGGATGTCTGGAAGGCGAGCTCTGTCTTCTGCATTGCTGGGAGACCCTGGAAATGGTCAAAAGTCACCCTGTAGGGGCGACTAGCAAGGAGGGGATCCCTGCTTGATTACGGTAGGGCAGTAGCCCTTCCATTCGATCTGGGGCAGCCCTCCAAACCGGCGGATGAAAGACTGGCCATAGCAATATGGCTTGTCACTAAGCTGCAGACAGCCGAAGTCACATTTACCACCAGGCAATTATAAAGCAGCGCGGATAAGACTAGGTGAGGTCTACCTCTC